ATCACATCTAAACAATAAAATAAAGCTACCAGTATCTATGATATAACTCAGGTGACCGCTAAGGCCCTTGGGCCTCTTGTTACAGATATTGTTAACCCTTTCACCACTGTAGACCATAATGGACTCATCCAGATCAATGCATGTATATAGTCTACTAAAGTTGCATAGGGGTGAAAGGGTTAAATAGGTTTCCCTAGCATAGCTAGCTCACTGTCCCTATATGGATTTTTGACTTGGTATAAAAACATCATTAGAACGCATTGTGTGGCATACCAAAATATGGTCATACAGGAGAGGGGGCTCATAATGTTCCTGTCAACATTGACTTATGACAATAAAATGTGTTTAGACTAAGGTCGTTGTGACATACTTTGAGACTTAAGTTGAGCTTTGATTCACAGCATATTCTTGGCTACTGTTTCATGTAATTTAGATGTTTAAGATTTGGTATTAAGGTATATCATGAGAAGGCAATGTTTTGCAACCAGATCAACTTCTGATCTTTTGACCTTTGATCTCAGTTCACAAAATAAACAAATAAAGGTTCCTAGTGCATGTCTTGGCCATTGTTTCATATATGTGAACATCACATTGATGTAGTATGCGATATATCATGAGAAAGCACTGTGTTGCATACCAACAGAATAACATGACCTCTTTTTGGCCTTTGTCTTTGACCATAATTACCAAAATAAGGGTCCTTTTGGGCCTTTGTTCTTGACCACAATTACCAAAATAAGGGTCCTTTTGGGCCTTTGTTCTTGACCACAATTACCAAAATAAGGGTCCTTTTGGGCCTTTGTCCTTTACCATAATTACCAAAATAAGGGTCCTTTTGGGCCTTTGTTCTTTATCACAATTACCAAAATAAGAGGGTCCTTTTGGGTCCTTGTCCTTGACCACAATTACCAAAATAAGGGTCCTTTTGGGTCCTTGTCCTTGACAACAATTACCAAAATGTGGGTTTCAGGGCCATAGTTTCATTAGGAGAGATCATTTTTGGTATGCATGTACATTATGGTCAAGTTAATCTGCTTTGGAAAAAAACGCAATTCAGTTAATCCACAAGAAAGCAACAATAAAAAAGTGCTGAATGTTACATTAGGAAAATGTTAACTTTATTTTCACTTAAAACCTTACATTTCACTGGTGAAAAATGGAAATAAAGTGGTTTTAAATATGCTTCCTCATTCAAATATACAATGAAACATGATGTCAAGATGTGAAGCACATCTCATAATTCTACCCAGCATCATTACTGTAAGATAGCAGACAACAATTGTTTCTGTGAAGTTGAGCAGATATTGAATCTGACTCAGTGATCATGGACAGTGGTATTTTGGAAATACTCACCAAGAAATTGTCCTCGGCTCAAATTACATGGAATCTGGTACCAGCTGAAGTATTGACCACCATATGTTCAACTCATTCATCCCTACATTTTTAAAATGAACTTGCCTAGTGTTTGATTTGGTAAGGTTCATATGTGACTAGGGGTGTCACAATACACCAAGAGTGTTTCACGATATATTGCAATACAGAATTAATATTTTTCAAAACGTATCCCAATATATTGTCATAGGAAGAATGTGCTCAATTTTATAATAAGTTGTAGTCAGAATATTATCAACTTCAATATGTTAGAGTTTCTAAAGCTGAAGACTAACTGTTATTGGTCCTACAGCAGAAGGCCTTCAATATGTGAGAGTTCCTAAAGCTGTAGACTAACTGTTACTGGTCCTACAGCAAAAGGCCTTCCATATGTGAGAGTTCCTAAACCTGTAGACTAACTGTTATTGGTCCTACAGCAAAAGGCTGTAAACTAACTGTTACTGGTCCTACAGCAAAAGGCCTTCAGTATGTGAGAGTTCCTAAAGCTGTAGACTAAATGTTATTGGTCCTACAGCAAAAGGCCTTCAATATGTAAGAGTTCCTAAAGCTGTAGACTAACAGTTACTGGTCCTACAGCAAAAGGCCTTCCATATGTGAGAGTTCCTAAACCTGTAGACTAACTGTTATTGGTCCTACAGCAAAAGGCTGTAAACTAACTGTTACTGGTCCTACAGCAAAAGGCCTTCAATATGTGAGAGTTCCTAAAGCTGTATACTAACTGTTACTTGTCCTACAACAGAAGGCTTTAGACTAACTGTTATTGGTCCTACAGCAAAAAGCTGTAGACTAACTGTTACTGGTACTACAGCAAAAGGCCTTCAATATGTGAGAGTTCCTAAAGCTGTAGACTAATTGTTATTGGTCCTACAGCAAAAGGCCTTCGATATGTGAGAGTTTCAGAGGCTCTAGACTAACTGTTACTGGTCCTACAGCAAAAGGCCTTCAATATGTGCGAGTTCCCAAAGCTGTAGACTAACTGTTACTGGTCCTACAGCAGAAGGCCTTCAATATGTGAGAGTTCCTAAAGCTGTAGACTAGAGGGTTGATGACAGTGTGTGACCATGCCGTATAGAGACAGGCTATTATGATAATAGGGTCGTACTTAGAGTCGTCCTGGTCTAGTATGGACAACAAAATGAATGGTGTGTAGAGCAAAGTGAACGTGGTCAGTATAAGAATGACCGTGATGACCAGCTGTCTTTCCTGCTTGTAACGCCTGGTGCCAGGTTTATTGGGCTGGTAAGTGGACTGGTGAATGCTGCGACTAGCGTCCACTTTGAACTTACTGGTCCAAACCTTGTAGATCATGGCTATGTAGCAGAAGGCAAGGATAGGCATGCTCACACCCACTGTTAATAGAGTCAGGAAGCTACTATAGGAGTCGCCATTGAAGGGATGGCAGAAAAACCTCTGGGGATCATACTTGAGCTGCCCCCATACCTCCGAGGCGGGGAATATCAATAAGATCGGGTAAATACTCCAGGAAACAACCAGCATGACTACTACATTGAATTTTCGTTTGTATATCTGTTGGTACTTGTCAAAATGTACTACAAGTATGTATCGGTTCGTACAAATTAGTATGAGGCCAAGAATCTCTGAGCCGACCATGCTGTATGTCAGGAAACCCATGATCTTACAAAGTGTGTCGTCCACCTTCCCAGCGACACGTTCTTGGTGGGTGAATGAGAGGTAGGAGATATAGGGCAGGGAGAATACACAGGGAATTAGGTTCAACATGATCAGGTTCAGAACCAACAAGATGGCTGCTTCCCTGTACAGCCTCGTTTTGATGATAGCCAGGATGGTGCTGGCATTAGTGATGAAACCAAGAGATGCAATAGTGGTTGCCGCGACATTATGGAGGAGTTGGGTTTCCGTGGACATGAAAACATGGTCAGTTTGATTAACTTTCAATGGTTCCTGCATGACTAACAATTGAAAATAGAAAACCGATATATATATTACAGGGTGATATATGCACTAATCAAACACATGTAGGCAGGATGAAGCATCACAGTAAATACATCAAAGCTGAGGGAAAACAGTTACAATTACAGATTTGTCACTTTATGTCTGTCATAACAGGTTGGGCAAATAATTGTCGCAGCCATAGTGAAATATTATCATTGATTGTCTCCTTTTAAATCCAAATCCGTGTTGGTATATTCCAACAATTTGTCCCAATGATGTTTCCTGTTAGGTAGCGATATAACCAAACTATGTGTATAGTTTGTGTCCTTAAAAATCTCTGTGGCGATATATATATATATATATATCTAAACATTGCCCAAATGTTGTGTCCTGTTAGATCTCCATGGCGATACATCCAAACATTGCCCTGGTGTTCCTGCTGTTAAACTCCTATATATTTAATTGAACACCATTAATCATAAAAACATCTTAATCCATCACATCATAAGTTATATTAATCCATCACATCACAAGATATCTTAATCCATCACATCACAAGATATCTTAATCCATCACATCACAAGATATCTTAATCCATCTAATCAAAAATATATCTTAATCCATCACATCAAAAAGATGTCTTAATCTGTCACATCACAAGAAGTTTTCTTAATCCATCACATCATAAAGACATCTTAATCCATATAACTTCATAAAGATGTCTTATTTTATTACAAGATTAATTTGTCTGAATCAATATCATCTTAATTACATCTTAGTCTATCACATCATTAAAATGTCGTAATCCATTACATCATAAAGACATCTTAATTCATCTTCTCAATCCACTGTCCTCCAGTAAAGAATAGTACACTATTACACATAAAACAGTGATGAAATCTTTTGTCTCCTTGATGCCACTTGAATCAAGTCTGTTGCATTTGACCTTGAAGTTTTGTCCTTGAAACCTGTCAACCAACAGACATGAGTGACCTAGTGAAATCAGTTTTATGTTTCACATTTTCTTAATAAAAGAAATGCAACACGAGATAAATCCATCTTAACAAGTATATGCTAAGTTGATATTACAGACAAGTGAAAAAATATTTCTTAATCTCGTAACTTGCATATACAACAGGCACTTACACATGAATGTTTTCAGAATAAAATTTCCTGGAAATCACTGCGAAATATATTATTTTGCTCAATAGTGTTGATCCTTCTTGTCTTCGATTTCTGATGGCCAATTACCTTCCGTATTACATCTGAACCAATCAGAGAGGAGGTTACATGACATCTAGACCAATCAGAAGTGATGGTTGTTGACAATGAATCCAGAGTGCTGAACGTCATCCCTGTACTATTTGGGTGGGAGATGCGAGTCTGTTGCGATGGGGGTTTTCCATGATGAATTGCTGTAGCATACAAAAGAGTGAAAAACATCACACATGTATATTTACATCACAAATCTTTGGAATGATTTAAATACAGAAGTGTGAGCACTTAATGGACACAATTTTTGTTATAAAAGAATTAATGCAGTTTTTGTACTTAGGACCGAACACAATCTTGTATAATGCATTGTCTTCGTCAAAGATTGAATGGCTGTTTTGTTCCATTCATAAGCAAATTCACACCAAGTCTCCCGAAGTATTCAATGAACTGTCACGTACAAATATTTATATGTAGAAAGGGAGGAAGGTGGGTTTCCATGTAGTTACAAACACCAATATACATATAGATTGAGCCATAGAAATCAAGAGTTGATGGGACATTGATTTGGACAAAAAATACCAACTTAAAATGGAAGCAAGGCATATTGAATTGAAAGGACTAGCAGAGAAGTATGGAACCTGTGTGGAATGGTTAATGTCGCAACAAAGAACTCTGATCATTAGTGAACTGAAAAAAAATAAAAAATGTTATAATGTATATACTCTAATGATGCCCTGGCTATATTCTGCACTGAAATACCAAACACTCTGAACTACACAGTTTATAGGGTGTTTGACAGTGTTTGAACTATTGTTGGTATGGGTTTAACTCATGCCATCAGGAGCAGTTTGTGAAAAATTTCCAGACAGGGTCTTCAAATAACAGTATTTACATTATTTATTCGGGCCGGTCCATGGTCAAAATAAATGATATTAACATATTTCATCTAATAAGTGCACCTGTCCCTATAAGAACACCCCACCTTTTTTTCTTGGAAAGATGATGGGTGCACTAAATTAAAATTTGTAAAAATGTTGTTTACTTCCTGGATCTGCCAATATGATCTTCAATCTTTTGACCAAAGACTTTGTACCCTTTAGTGTTTACATTACATTATATAGCCAGTTGTCCAACATTATTTGTTTTTAATCAAGATTTGGCCAATTGTCTTGGAAAGGCATTGATATGTCCTCTGAAAGATTGCAGAAATGTTTCAAGTTCAACTGTCTCAAAGCATGCTCGTTTTCATTATTGCTCACTTAATCATCCAATAGATCCGTCAAATAAAATCTCACGTGTCAAGATCAGTTTCATTATTCAATTCAAGAAATTCTTGTCATTTCTCATTCTGGTTTTTTTGTCACTAATTTCAATTAAGTATCATCTCAATCAACTTTCAAATCTTTCATTGTTTTCCAGTGATCGTGTTAACATTAGCGATAACAACGGTCTTGGAAAAACTCCAACAACATCGTCATTTTTCACTGAAGCATGTCCACTGAGCATCCATTTTAAACAGGAATTAAGTTCTACTGTTGCCATGTCTCGAAAAATCTTGCAGATACATGGGGCGGCATGTTTTGATCAGTTTGAAAAATCTGGACACGGCCAGTCACCCCTCTTGTGTTTTTGTAAGTGCTTATTAGGAAGAATATGGTATATGACTAAGTGCACAGTGCGCTTATTAGGTAGAAAATCGGTATATGATTGTAAGTGCACAGTGTGCTTATTAGGAAGAATATGGTATATGATTGTAAGTACATAATGTGCTTATTAGGAAGAATTACTTATTAGGAAGAATATGGTATATGATTGTAAGTACATAGTGTGCTTATTAGGAATAATTACTTATTAGGAAGATGATGGTATATGATTGTAAGTACATAGTGTGCTTATTAAGTAGAATATTGTATATGATTGTAAGAACACAGTGTGCTTATTAGGAAGGATATGGTATATGATTGTAAGTACACAGTCCGCTAATTAGGAAGAAGATGGTATATGATTGTAAGTACACAGTACACTTATTAGGTAGGAATTGGTATATGATTGTAAGTACACATTGTGCTTATTAGGTAGAATACAGTATATGATTGTAAGTACACATTGTGCTTATTAGGTAGAATATGGTATTTGATTTTAAGTGCACAGTACACTTATTAGATAGAATACAGTATATGATTGCATGCCAAATATTATAAAAAAATACAGTGAAAGAGATCCTTTGGGAATTCAGTGCAGTTCTATACAGAGCTAATATGACACTTTGCGAGTGTATTACTTGTAACACTGTCATGATCCTGCAAATGATTTGTAAATATTTTACTATTGTCAAAGTTACGATGGAATTCAATCTTGCTCTGGTGCATTGGATCAGATGTCATGTAATTGTGATGTCTGTCGAAAAAAAGGTTGAGTGGCATTTAATCATTAGGTAACAGCAGAAAATATTTTTAAGCGATGAATAAAAAAAAAAGTGCTGTTCAAGTAACAGTATCTGGTCTTCAATGATATTGTATCTCATGCATGTAAATAAACATGATACGTTTTGAAATTTTGTCCGATTTAGTGTGTCCGATTTCTCCCATAGGCAATACATGTATAACAGCTGTCATCAGTGGATGGTTGCAGCCGGTTGACTGGGTATCTAAATTGCGACATTGCATGCATCCAATTAACATAATTTGATCCTTGATAACTCAGAAATCATGAAAATACAACAGGTACGAAACCTACTTTAATAAAATCTTTAAACAGGTTTAAACAGTAGTTTATATATATTACTTGTTATTATATTGTTATATAATTGACCATTGATGACTTAACTCATTCACCCCTGAAATTTCATAATGAACTATTCCAACCTTTGAATTGGACGAGTTCAAATGTGCCTTCAGGGGTCAATGAGTTAAATTGTCCATTTATTGGCTTTGAACTTTACTAAAATATGTCATCTAAAGTAGCCAGTAACTTTTATTTACATGTAACTTGTCATTTCGACACTAAGACAAGGTGGTATGTAATATAAGTCGGATTCAAAAACTTGACATTGTGAGGTACAGCCTACGTTGAAATCAGATATTTTTGTATTGCCCAAATTTTGTGGTTTCCCGACAAAATACCATTTCATTTCAGTAATAATTACAGTGAAATAAACCCACAAAATAAAAGAAATTAAAACCCCACGAAAATTAGTGATTTCACAGTAATTAGTAATAAGGTGTTAATTTATCTCTTTGCATGAACTGTCATGTGGCATCAGACATGTCTGTATCGGAAAAAATAGACCAAACGTATTTATAGATATTCTAGGGCTTCTGAAATGTCAAAATGTCATCAAATTAAATCTTTATGTGAATGTGATAAAATAAGCTTGTATTAATGTATGAATATAGATTTCCTTTAAACCTGTTCAGTAAGATCAGCCATTATAGATAGTGGTAACCTTTCACAAAGAAACCAGGGTTTTTAATTGGTAATAGAAAGAGAACCGAAGACTGTAATAGCAACAGAATCTTGGGTACCTTTGATAAGTAAACTGGAAAGCGTAGTGGCTACATTCAACAAAGAAACCAGATGTTGTAATGGGATTTTTGTAATGGTTTCTTGTGACAGAGAAATTCAAGATTGTATGGCACAAGAAGAGTGGTTACTTATCACCATGAAACCAGGGATTATATTGGCACCAGAATAGTGGTTACCTTTCACAAAGAATCCTGAGATTGTAATGGCACAGAAGACTCAGGTCATCTTTCATGAAGAAACCTGAACTGATATTTGTAACCTTTTGGAAGAGAACCGTACGTAGCTTGTAATGGCATCAACTGGAGACTGTAATATTTATGGAATCATGGGTACCTTTGATAAGTAAACTGGAAACAGCAGTGGCAACAGAATAGTGGCCTAGTCTACTTTTAACGAAGAAACCATATGTTGTAATGTCATATTAGTAATGGTTTCTTGTGACAGGTTCCACTATACTCTTTCAAGGTTGTAAAGGCAACAGAATAGTGGTTAACTAGATTTCACAAAGAAACCAGGGATTGTAATGGCAACACAATAGTGGTTACCTAGATTTCACAAAAAAACCAGGGATTGTAATAACACCAGAATAGTGGTTTCCTAGATTCACGAAGAAACCAGGGATTGTAATGGCAACACAATAGTGGTTACCTAGATTTCACAAAAAAACCAGGGATTGTAATAACACCAGAATAGTGGTTTCCTAGATTCACAAAGAAACCAGGGATTGTGATGGCAACAAAATAGTGGTTACCTAGATTTACAAAGAAACCAGGGATTGTAATGGCAAAAAAATAGTGGTTACCTAGATTTAACAAAGAAACCAGGGATTGTAATGGCAAAAAAATAGTGGTTACCTAGATTTCACAAAGAAACCAGAGATTGTGATGGCAACAAAATAGTGGTTACCTAGATTCACAAAGAAACCAGGGATTGTGATGGCAACAAAATAGTGGTTACCTAGATTCACAAAGAAACCAGGGATTGTAATGGCAACAAAATAGGGGTTACCTAGATTTCACAAAGAAACCAGGGATTGTAATGGCAACAAAATAGTTGTTATAAGGCTTTCACAAAGAAACCAGGGATTGTAATAGCACCAGAATAATGGTTACCTTAATTTGATGAAGAAACCAGAGGCTGCAGTGACATAAGAATGGTTATCTTTGACAAAGTAACCAGATATTTTTATGGGAACCGATTCATGGAAAAAATTAAAGATTGTACTGGCACCAGAATAGTTGTTTCTTTCGTCACGGAAATTGGAGAATATTTAAATAACATCAGAATACAAAACATATAATCTCCTGTAGACTTAGCTATTTATAATGTAGTATTACTTCCCCCTCTACTTTGAAACTTAAGTCAAATGGCAGACCTGTGATTCAAATTGTACGTAGATTTGTGTCTATAAAGAGCTGAAGGAATAGGTCACTCGAGCACTTTCAACAAAAATTGGTGTCTAGCGGACAGTAAATGTATAACATATGAGTTAGTCTGATCCGCCTGATGCTTATAATTTGAATATGAATACATGTTAGGCAAAGAAGTTTCAGACCAGGAAGTTACTGTCAGATTCAAACTTTTAGCAGGATATTAATAGCCGATTTCATGAATTGTAAACGAATATTGAGCGTGTATAGTATACGAAAGTTAAATAGGTTGTCTTTTAAAACACAATCAAACATTAGGAGGTATAAATCACATGCGATTATGAAAACAATTCATTTCTCAAGAGATTTTCGATTAAAAGTGGTATTGATTTCAGTTTCACACAGATTTTTCTAATTTCAAAATGATGACGAAAAAATGTGTATTAAGTATTGTTTTTAGAATTAGAAATGATGGAACTTACCTGGATTTGTCGGTTTGGTGAACACACTTTTGTCCTTCAAAACAAAATCATGAACAATTTGTATGATGTACCCAGATTTTGAGCTGTATGATTTCTGATGTCCGTTTCTAAATGATTGATGTACAATTCTAGTTTGGTAAATAAAATAAATAAAATATACAACATTTGATATAGCGCCCTATCTAGCTAACATAAGCCACTCTAAAGCGCTGGTAGCTCTTTTTAAATGAGAAATTATTTTGTATTTAAACGATGGTTCCAGCTGGATGCTGAAATGACAATTATAGATGTCCAATGTGTTAGTTTTATTGATGAGGACAAATTCCCATGGGTTCATTCAGTACATACAGAACCCAACACCCACACTTAAATATCATAAATAATCTGGTGTCCAATACTACGTCAGATTCCAAATCATGTTGTCTGGTAGCCATTGCAGCTCATTATTCATTAGAAATTGTTTACATGTCTGCGAGAGCATGTTGTGTGTGTAAAGGTGTGAGAATATCTAAATGTGTGGAAATCTTCGAGAGAATCTCTGTGTTTCAGTGTGTGCATGAGAATAGTCAGAGAATCTCTAAATGTATGAGAATCCATGAAAGAATATCTCGATGTATGAGAATCATCAGATAATCTCTAAATGTGTGCAAATCATCAGAGAATCTCTCAATATATGAGAATCCATGAAAGAATATCTCGATGTGTGAGAATCATCAGAGAATCTCTAAATGTGTGAGAATCATCAGAGAATCTCTCAATGTATGAGAATCCATAAGAGAATATCTCAATGTATGATAATCATCAGATAATCTCTAAATATCTGGGAATTTATGAGTGTATCTGTAAGTGAGTGTGTAATAGTCCATGAGATAATTTAATTTATGAGACTCCATGAGAAAATCTCTAAACATGTGAGCTTCAATGAGAAAATCTTTAATTGTATAAGAATCAAAGAGTGAAAATCTAAATGTATGCGAGTCCATCAGAGAATCTTAATTATGTGAGAATCTGTGAGAGAATATATTAATGTGTTGGAATCCATGAGAAAATTTCTAAATAAGTGAAGATTGAAATATTTTGATGTTCGTTAGTGACACATCTCTGAAAAATTCGTGAAACAGACAATTGTTCCTGTAAACTAGAGTTACATCGTCTCATAACTTTACCACCAATCACGGAAACTTTCCCTTGACGTTAACAACAGTAGTTGGGTAGAGGTATACAAATTGTTTGCGAATGAGGCACAATTGTGTGACTTCGTCAACTGTAGATATGGGAGGAGTCAACCAATGCTTATGCAATTTTTAAGCTTTTTAGCCCACCATCATCTGATGGTGGGCTATTCAAATCACCCTGCGTCCATGGTCCGTCGTCCGCC